TATTACCCCATGTGAGAATACTCAGTTGGAGAGAGATGCAAAATGGTTAATCAAGAATCTGGAGATAGTAAACTTTTCCTCTGCCAATCATACTTGCTCAGCTGGTACTCTGTCCCACGTATAAATCTCAGCCTCTCTAGTGGGACACCAATACTTAGTAGCATGGCCTGGATAACCTGCTCATAATAACGAGTACGTAGTTCAAGCAAATCCCATGGAGCCTTCATATTGTCAAGATATGCATGGAGATCCGCAAACAAAATTGTTACCTGTGGACACAAGGATACACCTCAGATGTAAGAAAGAAAAATCCATTCAATATTTACACCAGTCACACAGCTGTAAATTAATATTATTATATTCATTCTGAATCAGAACAGTAGCAAGGCCTAAACATCCCCTTCTTCTACTTCTTGTCAACTGGGCAGCCCCTCTACAATGATACCACCAACTCACCTCACAGCCAGCCTTCAAGAAATCAGCAATTTTTGACATAGGTACAAAGTAAGCTACATGTGGCTTTCCTGTTGTGGCTGTACCCCAGTAAATCTTCAACTCTCGTTCCTTCAAGATCTCCTTTAACTTGTCCTCTCCTAGGACCTCCTAGATCAAGGAGTCACAAAACAAAAACAAAGAAAAAACACAATTTAATTATCAAGAAGCACATGGTGAAGGTATTATTGCTACTATATATATATATATATATATATATATATATATATATATATATATATATATATATATATATATATATATATATATATATATATATATATATATGCAAAAAAATTATATATCTATTTAAAGGACCACTATAGTGCCAGGAAACATACTCGGCTTTCCCTGGCACTATTCCCTGAGGGTGCCTCACGCCAGGGGAGGACCCCCCCTCGGCTCTGGAAAGCAAGGTTAAAACTTACCTTTTCCAGCCTGGAGAGCTTCCCTCCTCCTCCTCTCCTCCTCCGTTTTTCTCCCCATCGCTGAATGCCACGCCAAGCGTACAGAGCGCTAGCAGATTCAGTTAGTCGCATAGGAAAGCATTCTCAATGCTTTCCTATGGACGCTAGCGTGCTCTCACTGTGAAAATCACAGTGAGAAGCACTAAAGCGTTTTCTAGTGGCTGTCAATGAGACAGCCACTAGAGGATTAGGGTTGCTTAACCCATTTCATAAACATAGCAGTTTCTTTGAAACTGCTATGTTTATGAAAAAATGGGTTAACCCTAGAAGGACCTGGCACCCAGACCACTTCATTAAGCTGAAGTGGTCTGGGTGCCTAGAGTGGTCCTTTAAAGTGGCTCTGTCACGCCATCCAGAATTAGTATTTCATAAAGTAAAAATCTTTATGAAATATTCACATTGACAGTGTTGGAATTTGTACACCTCTCCTTACTCCTTTCTCATTCCACAGATGGAGATCTGCTTCATCCTCTCTATGAAAAGTTATACCAGCAGACAACAGTAACTGCCACCCTCTCTAGATTAGGTAATCCAATCTCCATACCCATTCTGAGTTCCCACATCAATTCTTCCCAATCCATCCTAATCCATGCATAGTAGCTCATTCAATAACTGTTCATGTCAGTTACCTCATCTCCACTTACTATAATCTACATCTTCTAAATATGTCACCTCTCAGACTGAGATCTCGTCCGCCTTACTTCACTTTAAGTCTGCTATTTTTTTTTTCTCATATCCCAAGATACCCTCTATAAGCATCCACAACAATCTACTTCTCCCAATCTACCCATCAAACCATCACACTTATATCCAATCTCAGTTTCCTTTTTCTACACGCTATAACAGTCTTCTCTCAACAGATCAGTTTCCTCTTCTACAACAATCCAATCTGCAATGTGAATTTCATATGAATAAACTTCCTCCTCATTCATGGAGATGATATCAGTTCATGCTACATTACTAAGTGTCCTGCTATGTTCTATGTCCCAGCTAAGGTTTTTTCACTGGTTTGCAAAATGTCTATGTGTGCGGAGACCAAATCAACAATGGATGTGATAAAACCTCTGATGATTCTGCCACGGATTATCACCAAAGTGCTTATACCAAAAGATTTATCAACACCTACATTTAAATGTTTCTATCACTGTATTGATACACCACAAAGGACACCTTTCTGTGTATTTACTTTCAATTGTGTTTCATGGTAAGACTGCTTTATAACAATTTTTTTTCTTTCTTTTACGTCACCTCTGGGTGTGTGAGGACGCATGCTTGGTGCATGGACAATATTTTAACGATCATGTATATTATTCAAACCGCAATCTGCATAAAATTTTTACTCTACAGTTTTACAGTAAAATCACAAATTTTAGTAAAAAATATACAAACTGAAACTTGCAATGTATAGATGTACTATAGGTACATACTGACCTGCAAGTTGCGTGTAATGAGCTCAACCTTCTCCTCAGGACTTAGACTGTCCCCCATGTTGTTTTGGTAGATACACACTTAACTACAAGAATAAGGGTGAGATTCGGTTTAGGACAAAAATAGAGAGATTACACATATGATCATGAACCAAGTCTGGACAAGAAAAAGTACATTACACTAACATTTTCCTACAATAAAGAGTGAGAAACCTGCCAATATGTACAGTCAGATTAGACAATTCCCCATATACATACTTATCCAATTTATTTTTTTTAAATATAGTAAAAACAATAATCATATTTTTACAATAAAATAAAAAAATAGATACAAAGAACAGTGCCTGCTCAAAAATAACCAAACGTCACTTATCCACCAGGATATGGCGGTCTGATTGTAGACTATAATGCATCTAGTGGCTGTCAATGTAATCATTGCTGTTTCTCTAGCACTGCAATGATTTACATTGCAGGACTAGGAGAGGGCAGGGACACTGCAACTATAACACTTCAATTAGCGCTGCCTGGGTAGTCTAGGTGCCTTAAAGGACCACTATAGGCACCCAGACCACTTCAGCTTAATGAAGTGGTCTGGGTGCCAGGTGCATCTAGGTTTAACCCTTTTTGCTGTAAACATAGCAGTTTCAGAGAAATTGCTATGTTTACAAATGGGTTAATCCAGCCTCTAGTGGCTGTCTTATTGACAGCCGTTAGAGGCGCTTCTGCGCTTCTCACTGTGATTTTCACAGTGAGAAGACGCCAGCGTCCATAGGAAAGCATTTAGAATGCTTTCCTATGGACTGACTAAATGCGCGCGCGGCTCTTGCCGCGCATGCGCATTCAGCCGATGACGACAAAAAGGAGGAGGAGAGTTCCCCGTGCCGAGGGAGCTCGGTGGAGGAAAACAGGTAAGATTTAACCCCTTCTACCCCCTAGAGCCCGGCGGGAGGGGGGGGACCTAGAGACCCTCTAGTGCCAGGAAAACAAGTATGTTTTCCTGGCACTATAGTGGTCCTTTAAGTGTCCCTAATAGAAAAGAAATTGGTATTTATAAAGCATAATGAAAACGTCCACTTTAGCAATATTACTGAAGACTGTAAGGACTGTGGGCTCTTAGGGCACCCAGCTAAAGGGTTACTATAACCACATGACCATTGCTGCTTGAAGTGGTCTTGGTGGTAGGAGTCTAGATGTGCAGTGTTTTTGTTTAAAACATCGCACATCCAGACTTATTCACAAATCAAGTGACTTAGGAATCCTTAAGCTCTGTTCGGAGCAGTCTAATGTCAATTGTGTGCATATATTATATCTTCATTAACACGCAGTCATAGAGAAACCTTTGATTGGACCCATCCCGTGGCTACCGTAATGAAATAAGGAGCAGTCCAAGCAGCGCCAGAAGCTTAGCATGGCTCTAGATTAAGATAAGTAAAGACTTATTAAAAAAAGTTATGCTTTTAGAGAGGGTACCTAAAGAATAATGCACAATAAGGTATTATTCAAAGAAAGAAAGAAAAGGTTGGTGTAACCCTTTAATCGTCAAACTAATCTAACACAGTTTGACATCATACCGATGAACAGTGCCAGGGAATTATAGTGCTGTAGTTGTTATAGTGCTAAGAGTGCCCTCTTTAAAGGAACACTATAGTATTAGAAATAACAATTTGCACTTCTAACGCTATAGTGCCATGTTTGCCCTTTATGTGAATTTTACTTACGTTTTCTTCCTTGCTTCACCAATCTCCACAGGGTAGCTTCTTCTCCTTGGCTGAGATCATCAAAATCAATGATCTCTGCAAATCCAAAGCTTTTCCATAGGAAATAATTGGGAGGCTAGTACTCAACTGCAGCAAAACGCAGTGCTGAACCCATCAGAAGGTCTCTCTAAAACCATCTGATTTGTTAAAAAAAATAAAAAATTAAAAATTAAAAAGCAGATTTCATCAGAAGCGAATTTAGTGGCGGTCTGAATGAAAGCCACTAGAGGTGTTTAAACCCTGCAATGCACACATTGCCATTCTGCAGGTTAAATGGTACCCAGACCACTTCACTGAGATGGAGTGGTCTAAGTGCCTTTAGTGTCCCTTTAAATTTGCCTTTTGAATTTCACTTTGCTACAATTCAATGTTTAGTGAATGAATCCTTCAACATAACCTATCAATAATATATCAGTGTGTGTGTGTGTGTGTGTGTGTATATATATATATATATATATATATATATATATATATATGCCAATAACAGGGTTTTTCTACAAGGGTGAATGACAGAAGGGAAAGCCTATAGACACTAAAAGAAAATGAAAAATACTAGTGTGCATTAAAAATTTTTAATAAATCACATAAATAATGATAGTAGGTATCCCCTAACTGCAGTGACAGGTATTGATAATCAGAATAAGGGAGAGTATTGCTGCATTCTATGTAAGGACAATTAACCTCCTTAACCCTAATACATTTCATACAAGCTGGAAAATCACTGCAATTCTGATCTACATGCAGTATGATATTAAACAGCCCTTAAGGCATGCCAGGCAGACTGATCTCTATGATAAAGACCCTCACCCCACCCGGTGAGCTTTACCTGCCGGTACACGTGGTCCTACAGCAGGGATCTTCCTTGTTGCCTGTGGTTGCGTCAGGCGTTCAGCTCGATGCTCTCGGCGTTCGACAAGTCGAGCTTGAGTTGACTGAACGTTCTGCGCAGTAGAGTTCCGAAGGAGCCCCGAGTGTATCGATCTTAAAGTCGCAAAGAGCTCCTCCGCAGATTCCGTTAACAAAATGTCCCGACCGGATATTGAGGCGGTTGAGATCGCTGCCAGCCTTAACACGCATGCTGCAGACGGGTGAGAGGGTCTTCATACACCCCCATAGCAAACTTTATGGAATGGTCCAAACAAGCTGAGTGCCAGCCATTGTTATCACAGCTGGATGGATACAGGTTCCTATAGTAGTTCCTATCCAGTGACCTGTTAGCAGGCAGGCAGTGTGGGTTTTATATTGATATCAGTGGAGCAAACTAGAGGGTTTCCTTCCAGCCATGATTTGGGGGGGTTTATACCTAGCACACATTTATATACACACTTTATTATAGGAAGTTAGTTGTGTTTGTTGATTAGGATTCACAAAAGTGTGAATTTGTTTTTAGGAAAGAGGGGGAGAATAATCCAATTTTAGGCCACAACTGCAACCCTTGCTGACTTCCTAAAATATTCATTAAAAGGATACTATAGACATCAACACAACTTTATCATAAAGGGACACTATAGGCACCTAGACCATTTCATCTCATTGAAGTGGTCTGGGTGCAGTGTCCCCTTAACTCTGCAATGTGAAACATTACCTAAACTGCACTGTCTTCATTGCTGTCTGCCAGACAGTCTCAGAGTTTAAAATTCCCCATAGGTATGCACCTATTCAATGCTTTCCTAAGGGGAAGGCCTAGTGCGAGCGTGCACTTGCTGTGGATGTGCATTAGATCCCCCCTCGCGTTGATGTTGGAGGAGACAGAGCCCTCGGCGCTGGAACCAGGTAAGTGTTTAATTTTTGGTTTGTTTAAAAAAAAAACCACACACAAACTATTTAACCCCTTAAGGACGGATGATGGACTGGGTAAGTCGTGCTAAAATTAACCCCAGATCACCTTGATCGATCTCGGGGCTAACGCTCCTCCGGTCTGCCTCGTATCCGATCGCGATGTCCCTGCAGCTGTGATCCGAGCACATGTTCTGCAGGGACTTCTGATACACATCCCTGTGCTTCTGCAGTCAGTGTGAAGTGCAGGGAGATGGACCAGTGATGATGATCTTCTCCCTGCAAAAAATTAAATAAAGTTACAGTTAAATCCCACCCACATTTCCCCAGCTTTATTAAAATTAACCTATTCACTGCCATTTGATCACTGACTACAGTGATCAAAATACAGATCAGGGTATTTTACTGTGATCTGATTTTTTTATTTTTATTTTTTTTTTATAGAACCCCTGTGGGTTAACTTTTATATTTTTAACCCTCAGGGGTTAAATTTATTTTATTAATTTAAATATTTTAAAATAATATTTAGATAGTTGGGGTGGGTGGAAGTTAGTGGGGAATTTGGTGTTAGGCTTGGTAGGGGTTAACATTAAAAAAAAGTTTAAAAAAAAAGCTTTATAAAGGTAAAACATTTTTTAATTTTCTTTTTTTTTAAATAATGTTTAAAAACAGGAAGAAAAATCCCACCCCCTTTACCCAGTCCTAATAAAAATGGCCCCCTTCCCTGCCAGTTGATCACTGCCTACAGTGATCAAAATACAGATCACAGTATTCTACTGTGATCTGATTTTTTTCTTTAACCCATGAGAGTTAACTTTTTTTTAACCTTCAGGGGTTCAATTTATTTCATTAATGAATTTATATATTTTAAAATTATATATTTTTCTAGCAGGGGTGGGTGGGAGTTATGGGAAATTGGTTAATTTACAGTTAGTGCGGCTTACTTCTAGTTAGGGGTTAATGGTAAAAAAAGATTGTAAAAATGTAAAAAAGTTTCAAGAAAGTTTAAAAAAGTAAAAGAAATTAATAAGTAATCAAAAAAGTTTAAAAACAAGTTTTAAAAAAGGTTTTTAAAAAAAATACATTAAAAATGCTCATTACCACTACACCTGGAACAAACTAGAGAAAAAATGATCTCCTGCTAAGGTTCAAAATATGCCTTTTGAATTATCCCTGGGTGTATTCTTTAATAAATAGTATGTGTTTGTGGGGAAGTTAGAACAACCAACCAGCGAACTATTCCGAAATGAAACATGGACACAGCATAAAAATTCAAAGTTAGAAAAAAACTGGCTGCGTCTCAAATGTGCCCCTTCAACATCCACATATACGTGGCAAAGGTACATACGGGTGTATTGTTGTACTCAGACGACATAGCTGAGCAACATATGAAATATTATACAGCCATAGCACACATAAGATTTGCAAAATATACTGTGCAAACTCACTTTGTGTGTCAAAAAGGCTTATTACCACTACACTTGGTACAAGCTAGCAGAAAAATGATCCCACGCTAAGGTTCAAAATATGACTTTTAAAATACCCTAGGACAGTGATGGCGAACCTTTTTGAGCCCGAGTGCCCAAACCGCAATACATGCCAACTTTTTTTCTCCTTAAAGTGCCAACACGGCAATTAAACCCAAATACTGAGGTTTAAGTTTAGAAAAAACAACTCGTACTGTTGTCCGAACTAATAACTTTTGTTTTAAAAGAACACAGAGTTCAATGATACAAATTTTAAATAATAATATATATAGATAAAATTAAGCTTATATTTATTAGTATCTTCAACAAATGCAATACATACACACACAGACTGCTGAATACATACACACACACACACACACACACACACACACAAGACTGCTGAATACAGACTGATGAATACACACACAGTTTGCTGAATACACACACACACAGACTGCTGAGTACACACACACACACAGACTGCCGAGTACACACACACACAGACTGCTGAGTACACACACACAGTCCGCTGAATACATGTGCACACACACACAGACTGCTGAATACACACACTGCTGCATACACACATACTGCATTGAGGTGGGGGGGTGCGTGTGTGTGTGAGTGTTGTATGTGAGGGGTGTTATGTGTGTGTGGGGGGGTGCTGTGTGTGTGCTGTACTGTGTGTGGGGGGTAGGGGTACTGTGTGTGGGGGGTAGGGTACTGTGTGTGGGGGGTAGGGATACTGTGTGGGGGTAGGGATACTGGGGGTAGGGTACCTCGCTGGAGGGTAGTATTGCTGGGGGTAGGGGGTACTGTGTGTGGGGGGTAGGGCACTGCTGGGAGGTAGGGTACTGTGGGTGGTAGGGGTACTGCCAGAGGGTAAATGTTAAAGTGTGGGTACTGTGTGTGGGGGTAGGGTACCTGTGTGGGTAGGGTACTGTGTGTGTGGGGGGTAGGTGTCTGTGTGGGGGTAGGGGTACTGCTGGGGGTAAGAGGTACTGCTGGGGGATAGGGGTACTGCTGGGGGTAGGGTTACTGCTGGGAGGGTAGGGTTACTGCTGGGGAGGGTAGGGTACTGCTGGGATGGGTAGGGTACTGCTGGGGATGGTAGGGATACTGGGGAGGGGTACTGCTGGGGGGTAGGGGTACTGCTGGGGGTAGGGGTACTGCTGGGGGTAGGGGTACTGCTGGGGAGGGTAGGGGTACTGCTAGGGGTACTGGGGGGGTAGGGGTACTGCTGGGGGGTAGGGGTACTGCTGGGGGATAGGGGTACTGCTGGGGAGGGTAGGGGTGCTTGGGGGTAAGGGTACTTCTGGGGGGGTAAGGGTGCTGTGTGTCAGTATACCCCCCCCCTCCTTCTTACCTTTAATGAAGTAGGGGGGGGGGACACAGCCATCCCTGGTGGTCCGGTGGTGGTAAGCACTGCAGGGGGAGGGATCTGTGATGCAGCTCCCCTCCTGCGCAATGCTGTGTGGAGCGTTGCCATGGTAACACGCGGCAACGTTCCACACAGCATCGCGCGGGAGGACAGGGGAGCTGCTTCCTAGAGCCCTCCCCCTGCCTCCCGACCCGGAAGCAGAGTAGGCGCCTGCCGTTTCGGGCAGGCAGGCGCCTACTCTGCATTGATGGCGAACCTGTGGCCGCATGCCCACAGAAAGGGCCCGGCGTGCCACAGGTTCGCCATCACTGCCCTAGGATGTCTTTTTTAAAGAAATGGTATGCCTTTATGGGATAGTTGGAATATATAGCCTGCTAAAATACTCCAAAATGGGACCTGGACACAGCGTAAAAATTCAAAGTTTGAAAAAAATTGGAATGGCTGTGTCTCAAATGTGCCCCTTTAATATCCACATATACCTGGCAAAGGTACATACGGGGTATTGGTGTACTCAGAGGACATAGCTGAGCAACATATGAAATATACAGTTGTAGCACACATAAAGTTTGCAAAATATACTGTGCAAACTTACTTTATGTGTCAAAAAGGCTTATTACCACTACACTTGGTACAAGCTAGCGGACAAATGATCCCACGCTAAGGTTCAAAATATGCCTTTTGAAATACCCTGGCATGTCTTCTTTAAGAAATGGTATGCCTTTATGGTGTAGTTGGAATATGTAGCCTGCTCAGGTGCTCCAAAGTGGGACACGGACACATCAAAATTCTCCGTGAAAATTTACGCTTAAAAACCTGAACTTGTCACATCTCAGCACTGTAACTTCACAAAATAGTGTCTAGGTCATATATTGGGCATATAGTTTTACTCAGATGATGTAACTGAGCATAATTTGAGGGATTTTATGACAGTGGTAAATATCAAGTGTAAGAAATACTCGCAACATGTATGTAAAAATGCAATTTTTTTTACCTCCTCACCACAAACATTGACATAAATTGGTGAAACAATGGTGACAAGTTAAGGCACAGTATACGCCATATAAGATACCCTGGGGTGTCTGCTTTATCAAATGGCTTCCATTTGTGGGGTTATTTGAGCAGTCAAACTGCTATAATACCACAAAATGAGACATAGGCCAATCATAGCCATCTATGAAAATTCTAACTATAGTAACTGAACTAGCCTTGTCTCTTTATATGGCATTGTCGCTTCACAGAATATATCCAAAGGCATACAATGGTGGTATTGTTATACTCCGCAGATGTAGTTGAACACAATATGGGATTCTGTGCAGTAATATAACACACCAGCTTTACGAAATACACATTACAAAAGCCTTGTTATATGTGTATATGCCACAATAGAGAAATACATTTTACTGCAATATTTAGCAGAGACTGGCGATGACATGGCTACGTAAAAAGTGTCAAGATAGCCTTTAGGTAAATAGCCTGTGATGTCTACTTTAAATAAATATATACTTTTGTGTGGCAATTTTGTTTTCTGTGATGGCTACTAAACCTACAAGACAAACATACCAAATTCTAAAATTGTTTCACATTGAAATGTTATTTTGGTCCTTTTATTTTGTGACCTGTAACTTTTAAAATATGCTAAAATCCTATACATATTACGTACTCTATAAATCAAGACACATAAATGAATTTATTTTTAATTACTTTTTCTAAGCTGGACATATTATGCACATGCTATTATTGCCAAAACTATGAAAAGTTTTTTTGTGTTTGTTTTTCACATTTTTTGGCATTATTTTTTATAATTAATGAGAATTTATCTATGTATATGTGACATCAAATTAAAGCCCCATTTGCCCTCTAAAAAAAAGTATAAAATATGTGTTGGTGCAATAAATGACAGAGATGCAAAATGGCTTGTGTCCTTAAGGGTAACACAAGCTTTTGAAGCTGTGTCCTTAAAGGACCACTATAGTCCCCGGAAAACATACTCGTTTTCCTGGCACTATAGTGCCCTGAGGGTGCCCCCACCCTCAGGGACCCCCTCCCGCCCGGCTCTGGAAAGGGGTTTAAACTTACCTTTTTCCAGCGCTGGGCGGAGAGCTCTCCTCCTTCTCTCCTCCTCCGATCCGCCCCGTCGGCTGAATGCGCACGCGCGGCAAGAGCTGCGCGCGCATTCAGCCGGTCGCATAAGAAAGCATTTACAATGCTTTCCTATGGACGCTGGCGTGCTCTCACTGTGAAAATCACAGTGAGAAGCACGCAAGCGCCTCTAGTGGCTGTCAATGAGACAGCCACTAGAGGATTAGGGGGAAGGCTTAACCCATTCATAAATGTTTATTTAAAAATGGGTTAACCCTAGCTGGACCTGGCACCCAGACCACTTCATTAAGCTGAAGTGGTCTGGGTGCCTAGAGTGATCGTTTAAGGGGTTAATTGGAGTGCAGGGGCAGAGGGACACTCTATTGTTAGATATACAGATGGTCCTCACTTTACGACCTACCTATTTTACGACGGCTCGCACTGACGACCAGCTCTCTAACGTGGGGATTTGAGAGATTCCTTGCTCTGGTGCGTATGTCTATGTTTGTGTAAATTTCACCGAACATAGACACGCGCACCAGAGCAGGGAATCCATCTAATCTATGTTCGGGGAATGTCCCCAAACATAGATTTGAGGGATTCCCTGCTCTGCTGCACTAGTCTATGTTCGTAAGAACGGAACCCGGTCGGTAAATGAGTAACTGTACAGCTTTGTATTCTTACCACTATAGTGTTCCTTTAATGGAGCAATCTTAGTGTGTAGATCAGGCCCCTGTAGTCTCTCTGCTCAATTCTCTGCCATTTTGGTGTCAAATCACTTTTGTTTCTGTTTATGCAGCCCTGGCAACATCTTCCCTGGCTGTGACTTGCACACCCTACATTAAAAATGTTTTTTGTTTTCAATCAGGTGTTAACTTACATAGTTTTTATTTCCAGCTTTGTAAATTAAACTTTAATCACATACAGGAGCTGCAGTCTATACGGCTATTAACAGAGCAGGAGAAAGGAAATTCGAAATTAAATAGAATTTTCAATAAAGGAAGTTTGACCTTATATCTCTCTTTACAGGAAGTGTTTAGGAAGACTGTGCAAATTACATGCATGGAGGTGTGCTTTGGGCTATATAGACATGATTTAACTCTTAAATGGCAGAGAATTGAGCGGTGAGACTCCTGGGGCATGATCTATGCAGAAAAACTACTTCATTAAGCAAAAATAGTTTTGGTGCTTTGTGTCCTTTTAAAGTCTAAGCATTTAAAGGTACACTTTAGTCACCAGAACAACTATTTTCTGCAGGCATTTCCATGCAAACACTGTCAATTCAGAGAAAAGGCAGTGTTTACATTGCCTCCTAGGGACACCCCCATTTGCCACTCTTCAGATGGCCGCTAAAGGTGTTCCCTGGGGCAGTGCTGCACAGAGTCTTTGCGCTCTGCTAAATTTTTCTCATAGGGATGCATTTTTTCAATGCATCTATGTGAGGAGGTGCTGATTGGCCAAGCCGGTGTTTAGCCATGCCCCTATCCCGCCTCCTTGCCAATTTTAGCTAATCCAATACTTTTGGGAACCTGCACTTTCATTTACCGTCAAAGGACCACTGTAGTGCCAGGAAAACAAACTCGTTTTCCTGGCACTATAGTGCCCTGAGGGTGCCCCCACCCTCATGGCCCCCCTCCCGCCAGGCTGAAGTGTGAGGAAGGGGTTAAATCCCTTACCTTTCTCCAGCGCTGGGCTCCCTCGGCGCTGGGGACTCTCCACCTCCTTCGGACGTCATCGGCTGAATGCGCGCATTCAGTCAGTCCATAGGAAAGCATTCTCAATGCTTTCCTGTGGACGCTGGCGTCTTCTCACTGTGAAAATCACAGTGAGAAGCCTGGAAGCGCCTCTAGCGACTGTCAATGAGACAGCCACTAGAGGGTGGATTAACCCATATGTAAACATAGTAGTTTCTCTGAAACTGCTATGTTTACAGCAGGCAGTGTTAACCCTAGATGGACCTGGCACCCAGACCACTTCATTAAGTTGAAGTGGTCTGGGTGCCTATAGTGCTCCTTTAAAAATTTTTAACATTTTAATGCTAACCAAAAGTCTTCAGCAGCCTATCCCCACTGTGTTGATTGATCTTGTGAAAAGGGTTTAGTTTGAAAAGTAATGGGTGGCTTTGGTTGGCTAAGAGTGTCAGCTGTCTGCTTACCATGTCTCACAGTAGAAATTGCAGGTATTAACCGGTATGTCTGGAAGGAAGTGTGTAATCTCTGCCCTACACATGCCTACAGTAGAGCCTGTGTTGTGGGTCACCACTGACTCTAATTTAGTGTTAAACTGCTCGAAAATTATTTAACACTGAATGGAGTGCCAGGGGAATTGGCTATAGTGTCTACAGTGTGCTTTTAAAGATTAGTGTTCCATTACACCCGCCGAGACCCTAATATTTTAAATAGTTTTTCCTCTCAGGATTCCAATGTACATTTATTTAGTGAAAGGAGGAGATTTGTTTTGTTATAACATTATTGATATTTGTATAGCACGAAAAACAATTTACATTGGCATTCCAACTACCATGACAACTACAGTGCTTGTGTAAGGGTCGATTTTTGAACGGTTCGACACTTTAAAGGTTCCACTTTATTCCCCCATCCAGGTCCCATCTTCAGATATCGATATAAGAAGTATTAAACGAGCACTCAAAACACCATAACCTCTACGGAATGCTGTAGTGGTTATGGCCCTGATATACTCATGAGAATAAGTGCTGGGTAAAATTTTGTTGGTGACCTCAGGAAAATCCCTTGAAATAAACAACAACTAAGGCATGCTTTATTTTTTTTATTTATTTTTTTGTAAACAAAGTGATTTGGAGGAAATTACAACTGGTATCTGGTTCTACAGATGGGTGCTAATTTTTTTTTTTTTTTTTAATTCTTTATTTTATTTGTGCATGTGATTAACAAGCATGTTTGCCGTGCCACAACAGCAGGAGCAAACTGGACGGTATACATATAAGAACATCATTATGGCATTAAAGGCATTGCACATTTTTAAATTAATTAATCAGGATGAACAAATATGGCATGACACTGTTAGGTGCGTGGTTATAACAAAGATTGATTAGTGAGTAAGCATGCGAGGCAGACTTCGCTTAATGGTACATGTTAGCTTTCAACTATGCTGTCTGCTCCAAACTTAGATTAGGGTTAGACAGGTATAGCACAGTGTGTGATGAGAATGATATAGTAACATACTAACTTTTTAGAGATTTACAATACATATGCGTGACATGTGTAGCTAACAGCCTATGTGACTCTCATCAGCTAGGTTCGCTGGTAGTGTTATATGTGTGTAAAGATTGAGTTGTCTTAATGCTAGAGTGCTAGTCTGCGAACTGCTTATTAAAATATCAGATTTTTAGCGCTCGCTAGGTAATTAACCGCTGGGGCACAGTTTGTTATTGACGGCATGATATAACAACAGAGTGAGATGGTGCCCATCTATAAACTGGAGGTCTCAGGGTTTAGTTACTTAGTCCTCTGTCCTCAGGCAGTCTCCGGTTTAGCCAGTCCCCAGATTCGGGAAGCTCCCAGGGTATATGTAGAGGTATGCGGTTTCTCCACACTTCTCCGTGGGGGGTCTCAATGCTTGGTTAGCGGCTCGTTGGCGAGAGTGGTCGTTCTGGTTTCTCTGGTTGACCTCCGCTTGGTCTGGAGGGCCAGAGGCAGGTCGGTGATGAGAGCTCCTGTGCTGGCTGCGTCCAACCACCCTCCGCCACTTCTCTGCTTTCCGCTGCTTCGTACAGTGCCGCCTGGTGAGTTTTGGTACGGCAGTTCATTGCCCAGTGTGTACCTGGGTCCCGGGGCTCTGTGGCTTGTGGGGAGCCTTCCCGCTGTTGGGGTGGTGGAGTGGTTGCACTTTTGTGTGGGTTTCCTGCCCGGGGTGGGACGGATGGACTACCTTTGGTGCTTTCTCCCATTTCACAGGTGAGGTTCGGGATGAAGGCCTGTGCTGTAGTCGTCTCCAAAAGGCTTCGCAGATTAGAACGAATTGGGTTTTGAAACTCAGTCTCCATTGCTGGAGCCCTGGGTCCTCCATGTTGTGATCGGAGTACAGCATGGCGGCCATCTTGGGCACCTCATCCGACTTGCCGTCGGACGGTAACTTTCTCTGTGGTGGGTGGGTGTGAGTCTCCAGCAGGGACCAGGATATCCTCCACCTGTCCATGTGGGGGGTAGCAGGGGAACAGGAGAGCTGCTATGCGGTGCTGACCCTGCGTCGGGAGATCAGGCTGCTTATCCTGTGCGGTACTTTGAACAACCTAACAGTTACAATAGTAAACCTTTATTCCCCAAATGATGGGCAGTTTGAGTTTTTATCAAAGTCCATCGAGAATGCAGTTGGACCATTTAATCATGTGTGGTGATTTCAACTGTATGTTAGATTCACTTCTAGGCATGCAAATGGCCACACAGGCCTATATCTAAAAAAATATATATATATCCCTGAGTCATCGGGTGTCTACCCTTTTGATGTCACTGGACCTACACAATATTTTGAGGGCCAAATTCCCCGCACTGTGTGATTACACGTTTTATTCACCTGTTCACATGACATATACAATAATTGACAAGTGGCTGGTGACAGTCCATATCCAAAATTCATAATGATTTGAAAGGAAATATAATATGGACAGGCCAAGCCTCGGTGATAACATCCTACTGCCATATACACCTGACGAGGGATTGGGGGAATTGGAGATTAATTGAGTCTCTCTTGGGCAATTCTATAAAAGAGGGCAGACGACAGGTGATCACCATACTTTTAGCCATAACATCTCTGGGCCCACTACCATCCAGACTTTATGATCGGCTCACATTATTATGGGTGCACTGATTTAAAGAGGGAAGCCGATCAGACTCTAGCTAAGCTCTTTCAGGAGTTCGCAAAAAACTAGAGGGCTAATAAAAAGGTCCACCCATCTCTCCAGCTGCACAGTAGCATTCTTTTGATCTGGTGACAACTGGAGAAGATACAGCTGGAGATCACTGAGCGAGTAATAAGGTGTGTGAAGCATTTCTACTATGCTCAGGGTAACAGAGCTGGGTATACTACTTGCGTCCAAATTGAAGACACCGCAATCAAAGTCCAAAACAGCACAACCTATTAGCTTGTGCACTAATCTACAATGAGATTGTTTCCTTTAAAAGAAGGACGATGCATATGGCTTTTGCTGTTTGCTTAGAAGAACCTGAGAAAAGACTGTATACTTAATTCAGTTAGAAGAAAACGTATTTAATTTTAAAAATGTGGAAAAAAGTATATATATATATATTTATTGCTATAAAAAACATTTCACTTAATTCGGAGTGAAAAACAATAATACATAATATACTATTCTGTATTGAGCTAAGTTATGAATAGGTAATCAAAAAGAACCAGAGGATGTCACCTTTAGTAAACTAGCACCGTAATCATTATAAGAGGCTGTAGCAGTTCTGATACTTAGTGTCCCTTTAACATCATTTATTATTGGATTACGCTTTGCAGGCTACATGGCACTTAAACTCAAAGAAGGAGTTAGAAAACATTATTGCCATAGTGAAATCCAGTGTTCCAAAAAATGTTCATACTTACCAGTAATGACCGAAAGGCCCTGTTGTGCTTTTTTTGTGAATCAACACACCCACAGCCAGTAGGTGGCGATATAGTATTACTGTTAACCCTGAGAACAGTATTCAGGTTTTTTGACATAAATCCTTAAATGGTACCTGTCATGCCAGGTAGAACATATGCTCATCTTGAAGAACATGATATTCTGTCTATACATTGTGCCAGCAGTTTTGCTAGCAAATGTATACTTTAGGAGAAAAACCTATTTAAAAATAAATCTTTCTCACACCTCAGCCATATCTTTGGCATAGATTATATCATGACAATTTGACTAACAAGGGAGAGCAGAAAATACCTCCCACAGATGGTACGTATGCTCTCCCAATCACTGAAACCACAGCCAGCCCATGTGGTTTCTGTGGAAACTCCCTAGCAGATGCTAGTAGCGCTGGCTAGGGATTATAGGACGTCACTCTGTTCAGACGCTGGCATGCAAGCAGAGAAGCCAGCATGTTAGTGTCACACAGGAGGTTGGGGAAGTGTTCCCAAATAGGGCAAATCAGCGAAGAGAGCAAGTGTAAGGAGAGCGGACTGGAGGTTGGTGTTATACATGAAGAGAAACACCCATTAAGACAAGGAAATGGCGCCGCTGGATTGGCGTTATGAGAGAGAGCTCGACATTTTACTTTAGATACATAATCTCTGTGATACATGATGTTTCCAACCATGCATTTGAAGGGGATTTAGCCCCACCTTATAGAGACACTATAGGCACCCAGGCCACTTTAGCTCATTGAAGTGGTCTGGGTGCATATTCCCAGGCCCCTTAACAATGCCAAGGTAATTATTGCAGTTTTGAATTAACTGCAATCAGGGGCGTACCTAGAGCATTTGGCACCCGGGGCGGATCCTGTGCTTAGCACCCCCTCGCCCCCCTCCAAAAAAAAAAAACCCTGTAAAATCTTTTAAATGTTTTCCTTTTTTTTTTTACAATTTGTAAACTTTGCAAAACCTTGTCAGCTCCTCCTACAAAACCCTTGTCCTGCCCGCTCCCTCATACAAAACTCCAGTCCTGCCCCCTTCTACAAATCCTGTACTGCCCCCGTCTACAAAACCCCCGCAACCCCCTTCCACAAATCACCTGCTTATCCCCCCTTATAAAGACTCCTGTCCCAATACAAAACCCCTGCCCCCTTCTACAAAATCCCTGCAGCCACACACACACATTTACAGGCAGACAGTCACACACATCCAGTCATGCACACAGTTAGCGGCAGACTGTCACATATACATTGACACACACACACACGGGAGCAGCAGACAGTCACATGCACACAGTCACAGACAGTCACACACACGGTTACAGGCAACATCAAACAGTCACAGGCTGACAATCACACATACAAAGTCACATGCAGTCACACACACAGTTAGTTACAGGTAGTCACACACAGTCCTAGCCAAACAGTCATGCACACAGTTACAGACAGACAGTCACATATACAGTCACTCATACACACAGTCACAGGCAGAGAGTTACACACACACACACACACACACACACAAAGTTACAGGCAGACTGTTAAACACACAGTTACAGGCAGACAGTCCCTCACACACACATACACACACAGTTACAGGCAGACAGTTTCACAAACACAGACACACACTCTTACTTACAGACAGTGGGCTGAAGGAGGAGTGGATTCCCTGAAGTCCTTTCCTGAAGCCTGTGGAGAAGCAGGGATTCCATGTGCAGCAGTAACAGCAGCGGGTAAGGGCTGTATTAGGCCCTGCCCCACTGCCAGCTTGGCTCCGCCCTGATTTTTATTAGCTCCGCCCCCACTTTACCTCCATGCTGCCAGTTCAGCTGCTCTTTGCGTGTGTGAGCTGTTCTGGCCGCCTGGCACCCTAACTACCATGGAGCACTGTGCGGCTGTACAGCTCACACAGCCCCCTCCAGCCCCCAGACCAGGATCGTGGCACCCGGGACGGACCACACCCCCTCCCCCCCCCCATTAGTACGCCACTGACTGCAATAATTACCTTTATGGGTTAACTCCACCTCTATTGGCTGTCTACCAGTTTACGTAATCTCGTAAATGTCAGTTATTACTTTCCAATAAACAAAAAAGGCGGATTTGAGTGTAGTTGTGTGTGTGTGTGTGTGTGTGTGTATATATATATATATGTAGTGTTGGCGTTTGAATGCAGTGGCGTATTTGTGTGCAGAAGTGTGTCTGTGTAGTGTTGGCATTTGAATACAAGGATGTATCTGTGAGTAATATTGGCAAATGCAGTTGTGTGTAGTGTGTGCAGGGGCTTATTTGTGAGTAATGTATGTGTTTAAATGCAGGGTTGTATTTTGTGCAGTCTTGGCGTGCCTACACACAGATAAAGACACACACATGCACGTAAAAATTATCATAATTTTAGCCACCCTCCTTTCTTACCTTTTGGGTCCAGTGGGCGCTGGATGGCCAAGGTTGATGAGAGTCTGAGGTTCCAACTTTCCGACCCCCTCAAGGGCCTTCTCCTGCGACACTAACGATGTGACAGGAGTCCCGTCCAGTACACTATTAAAGGGTCATGATCTTAGAGCCATCCTGCTGGCCAAATTTGTGGACACTGTGGGACCTATGTTGTGCATCTCAGCTCTAAATAGATAAAGCATTTCAGCAAGCTAAAGTACTTTAACAGCTGTCCTTTTCTGCACTTTGGAATTCATATTTCTGATATATTTTGTACATGTCTTCAAATTTCATCATGAGCGGCAAAAGGTTTTAAAGGAAAAGTCAAAGCACCATAATAACTACAACCCACTGGCGCTCCTGGTACCATACCACTACAGGGGAATGTCCATATTTCCGCCCTGTTCGGCCATTATTGAATTGTTTTCTATTCTTTTACTTGTTGGGGACACCAGAGAAAAGTCTGCAATAAGCACAGCGCTAGTACATTTTATTTATATATATATATATATATATATACACACACACTTCCTGTCACAATTCGCCCCTCTGTCAGTCCTTACATTTGCTTCCTGTATCCTATAGGAGTCGATTCAAAATACTAACCCTTACCTATAAAGCACTTAAAGGGACACTATAGTCACCCAGACCACTTCAGCTCTCTCAGGTTTTAACCCTTCAGATGCAAACAGAGCAGTTTCAGAGAAACTGCTATGCTTACATTTGGGGTTAATCCAGCCTCTAGTGGCTGTCTTCCGGACAGCCACTAGAGGCGCATCTGCGATGCTGGAGGCATATTTTGCCTATAGTAATCCTTTAACAACTCTAGCCCGTGTTATATTTATTCACTGATTCATGGGTATACTCCTTCTCAGTATCTCCGCTCTACCAGTGACCTTCTCTTGTCCGCTGCTCACACCCATACTGCTAACTCACGCTTGGAGTATTTCTCTTTCACGACTCCTTTCCTTTGGAACAGCCTACCTACACCCATCAGACTCTCCCCTAGTCTTCACTCATTTGAGAAGTCCCTCAAAACCCATCTCTTCAGGAAAGCTTATGGCCTTGCAGAGTAACCTATATCTCACATTCCTGTCCCATGCTCTCTCCTAAAGGACCTTGTTTGATTGCTATCCTCCTCAATGCCTGTCTTGTGTTTTATAACCCACCTCCTCTAGACAGTAAGCTCGTTTGAGCTGGGTGATCACTGTTTCTGTAACAGTTTGTAATTCTCATTTATTGTCAAATATTTCCTCTCTTATAATATTGTAAAGCGCTGCACAATATGTTGGCACTATATAAATGCCAATAATAATATGTGCTTGTATTCCATGAAATAAACTTAGAGCTTTTATGCCCATACAGGACTTCAGGAGCACTAACATTTTAAAGAAGAATTAAAGAGGGATTTTGTCTAAAGTTGCATTTCTAGAGCACATTTTATTTTATAATTCAACATTATGCCTTTTGATCATGCTTCCATAATGAAAGCAAGTTTAAGGGTCCATCTAACCACCATAACTTTGTATCATTACAAAAGCAGTGTACAATTTGTTGCCCAATGTCTGGTACCTTTAGTTCCTTGTGCCAGGCACTGGGTTTCCCCCATTAGCCTTGCCACGAGTAGAGGCCACAAGGCCTCTGCCAAGTGTTAAAGTAGAAAAACGCATATAACTAATGATTACTATAGATATAATGAAATCTTTAATAATCTATTTAATGTGTATAACCCAATATAAATGATGAGTCCTTTCAGGAGGGCAATTCTTCAAATTAATTGTTTTATGTTCTAGTTATTTTGGATTTTTATTTTTTTCAACCTAAATATTATTACAGAAAACTGAATTCTGCCTCTTTTCCAACCAAGGTCTCATAATACCTAGGTATTATGTCTGTGTCAGACATTCTTGCTTAGTGTTTTAACAAGCAATTAACAGATTTATTAACTATACTATTGAATTATAATTTTATAGCACCATGAAGTGGTCATTGTTGTACATTTCAAATACATATTTATTTATAGGCGACATCATTAAATTGTACTAGATATCCATTTCATGGACATTTGGTGATTAGTACTTGGCGAGATGCTTGTGAAAATAATAAAATTAAGTTTTGTGTGTATAATCCAGGTATTTAGATTCCCCCTGTCTCCATTTTATTCTGGATTCAATATTGTTATCAAGAACAATGTCCTTATGTCCTATCGGTGGATTTGTATGTTGGAATGTTTATTTTACTGTATTGTTTATGTCTGTGGGTATATGAGGGATTACGATAACCATTTTTTCTTTTTCTTTAAAGGGGTACTATAGAGTCAGGAACACAAACATCTATTCCTGACACTGTTCTAAAACCACCTTTTAGGTGGTTTCCCCCCCTTACATTGGGTAAGAAATGTGAAGATGTATTCCTGACTCCATAGTGTTAAAAACACCCTCTGGTTCCCCCTGCCCATAAATATAGTAACATCTTACATTTATTCCAGTTTGCTGCTTGTTCTGCCCCTGATCTTCCTTGGCTGACATCATCAGAAGTGGTGATCTCAGCCAATCACCGTGCTTTCCCATAGGAAAGCATTGGATTGGCTGAAATTGTCAAGAGGCAGATCAGGGGCAGATCCAGCACAAGGCAAACACAGCCCTGGCCAATCAGAATCTCCTCATAGAAATGCATGGAATCTATGCATATCTATGAAATAAAGTTCAGTGTCTTAATGCAAAGGGTGGAGACACTGCACGTCAGAGCTGCACAGTGTGCAGGACTGCCCCAGGACAGAAGCATCTCTAGTAAGCATTTGAGGAGTGGCCACTGGAGGTATCGTTGGCTGTAATGTAAACACTGAGTACGCAGAAAAGGCTCAACAAAAATGTGAGTTTATACACTTGTGCAACTCACTAAACTTCTTGCCATATTATTTAATATACTGCACAATTATTTGTATTTTTTTCCTCTGTTTTTTCTATATGTATACTATATCTAAGGGATACATAGAGGGTAAGTGTTTTTGAACACTTGGGAAAATTCACTTACCTCACATCTAATATAGCGCTGCACTCTTAAAACTGAAGACTTAGAAGGTGGCAACACCTGTAAAGCCTAAAGTTTTATTAGTTTTTTTGGTGATTATCTATGTGTGGTGGGTTTAAAGGAGTATCCGCAGAGTGTATACAGCAGCTAAAAACCACTTCACAGGTTTACACTATATAGCGCCACCTATTCCACACCTTTTGTGTATATATCCACTGAGTACGCAGTGTTTACTGCAAAAAGTCTGCATGGACTGACTATACTAGCAAGAACAAATACAATAAGCTGTAGTTATGTTAACTATTAGTGTCCCTTCACCTTTTTCCAGCGCTGCTCGAGGGTTCTTACATCTGGCCCCTCCCCTGATTTGCATCCTTGGTTGACATCATCAGAATTGATGATTTTAACCAATCACAATACTTTCCAATAGGAAAGCATTTGATTGCCTTAGATTGTCAATGCTGAAGATCTCAGCCAAGTAGGCAGGGCGGAGCCTGACGCCTCCCTTTCCAATCAGTATCTCCTCTTAGAGTTCAGCGTCTCAGTGCAGAGCGTGGAAATGCTGAATGTCAATGCTGCACATTGTGCAGCACTGCCCCAGGAAGCACCTCTAGTGGCTGTCTGTGGAGTGACCACTGGAGGTGTTCCTTGGCTGTAATGAAAAATCTGCTTTTTCTCTGTGAAGGCAGTGTTTACATTAAAATGCCTGCAGGCACTGACTCACCAGAACTACATTAAAGGACCACTATAGTGCGGGCATTGTAATCTGTGAACGCTGTGATCTGGAACTGATCTTCAGCTCCAGAAATGTGTGAGTGCAATATATTTATTCCTTATATTCTGCCTCTGCTGCTATAGACATACTACACTATATTAGTATTCCTGTCCAATTTAGTTTTCTCCCTTATGTTGGCTCCATTGGACTCCACACAAGGATTTTAATTGTTAAGCGCTGCTTCCCTACACCCCCTGCTTTACTTTAATCAATGACCAGAAAGAAGAGACTCTAGTTTAGGAAAGCTTTAGCTGCTGTACACATAAAGAAACAAGCGCCAGAAATCTCACTTGCTGCTATATATATTACTAACATTTGACTTGTTTCTTCTCAGAATTGTATGTTACAAGCGGCACAATGGAAGATTCCTGTAATAATTACCACTGGACCACTACAGCAGGGCACGTTAACCGCCAAGTAGAGCTTTGCATATCAAGTTCGCACCACTCTACCAACAACATGGAATTAATACAGATTAGTATTGTGAATGATAAATTTACAAGAACCAAACATGGGCGAGAGGAGATAAATGCTGAATCCCCTAGTCCTAAGAGGCTACGCAGTGCTGTATTTAGATGCAGCACTCCCTGCTCCTCATCTGGCCATTTAAAAGACCATGCAAGCATGTCTCTGTGTGAAGGTACTTGTCCAAGATCTGATGGACCTCTAGATAAAGATAATGAATGGGATGATTCTTTGTTGGATCCTACAGATGATGAGGGGGATTCACCTTTATATTTGACAGTAGACGAGATAGATTCATTGCTGGAAGATGACTCCTGCTACGCAGCAGAGGCTTTGGGTTTGGACAGTGAGGTGGAAAGTGAGAAAACAGTGACCCAGCTACCTTCAGAGGATCATGGGATTAAGAACGATGAGCTTTCTTCCACACTGAAGGAGAGCACCTTGATTGGGGTAGAAGAGAGCGACACAGAAATGTGCAACTATGCTACAGTGGCTCCACTGCCCCTCATATCTTCTTCACAGTCTGTAGAAGTGCCGGGAGTGAGTAACTCCAGTTTTTCAACTTTAACAACTTCATCTACATGTAACTCTGCACTGCACAGGGAAGACTGTGAATCTGGGGTTCATGACCGATTACTGATGGAGTCTGATTTAAGCTTAGACTATGTACCTCAATGTAATGACACTAGAACCTTATCTACAATGGTACAAAAAACAAGTACTCCACCAGGAGTTGTTGAGGTATTTGAGGAAGAGAGTGAGCTGCCATTTGACTGTGACATTGATGAACTCTTACAAATTAGTCCCGGGGAAACCACATCAGAAGAAGATAGCTGCACTCCTCTGGTCCTCACAGTCAGCAGTGGAGAGATGAAGCTGGCTAAGTTGGACTCTGCACCTACCGGTTTGCCTTTGCACTCATTTCAGTTACCTTTGCCACCTATTGTTGCTAATTCTGAGATTCCAGATTTACTGACTTTTCCCCCAGACCCTAATAGATCGATCTGCAACTTGGAAAATACAGGTCAAGATGTAAAGTCTGGCAAATCAGAGGCTGAACCGCAAACTCCTGTTGAAATCAAGCAGGAAAACAGTATTAGTGGAAACCCTTTAAGCATTATTGTGGACAAATGTGCTGTACAGAAATCAAGCAAGCAGCAACAGGTAAGCTTCAATTCAAGTGGTTAGGTTTATTTCTTATTGTCTAAGTTATCCCAAAACCTACACCATAGCTTGTTTCACCCTTCAAGCAAGAAGAAAGATAACAAAAGGGATTCTATAGGCACCCAGACCACTTCAGCTCATTGAAGTGGTCTGGCTGCACTGTACCAGGCCCCTTAACCCTGCAATTGTAATAGTTGCAGTTTTTGATAAACTGCAATAATTACCTTGCAGAGTTAACTCCACCTCGAGTGGCTGTCTACCAGAAATCCACTGGAGGGACTTCCAGGTGGTTAGACTACTTTTGATCGCCTGATGCTGGACAGCCTCATGCTATGCATTAGAAATCCAGCATCAACCAAAACCCAAAAGTTTTGCATTTCCTATGAGGGAATGCACTCGCTGCACATGAACATTAGGTCCCCCCAATAGCTGAGGAGGAGTGGAGACGGAACCTGAACCAGTGCAGAGGGACATAAGCCCTGTAATGAGGTAAGTAACAGAAGGGGTTTTTAGCCCCTTATGCACCATGGTGGTGGGGAGGGAGGCACTGAAGGGAGCTACAGTGCTAGGAAAACAACTGTTTTCCTAGCACTATAGTTTCACTTTAATTAGGAAGTGTACAAATTATGTATAATGTTCCAAGAAGCCATATAGGTATACATATTCTACGGGATAAAGTACAGCAGAGCATGTATACCCTCGGTGAACCACAGGCCTCTTTTCTATCAAGAACAAAATAAATTAAATGAGTCAAATGTTCACAAGGGCTTCTTAATTGTATTTTTTCACCAATTAAAGACAGCTATTGGGTCAGAGCTTAATATCCCCTTTAAATGTTAAGTACCATGGGGCTGCAATTCTCCTATTGACTGAAGTAGGTGTGCCAAAATTACCTGAAATTTCTCTTTTTTAGTACATTAAAGAAAGGGGAGAGGTAATCTTCACCCAGGTAGTCCCTGTAATGCTCCCTTTAACCCACGTGGTCTAAAACTTTTGGAATGGTCTTCAGCATGATACAAGTAGTCTAGCAGAATTGGAATGTGGTTTTAGGAAACATGCCTTTGCACAGAAGATGAGGAAGAGAGACAGAACTTTTTTAGACATACCTCCGCCAATCTATGCTCCTAGCGCTTTTCCGAGGACTCCGAGCACTCCAACCGACACCATGAGCACTGCGGACCCCACTTCCAGCGATGCAGCTGCGCAGGGGTCTCGCCGTCTCTCACCCACCCTGGATCCACGACCAGGATCCTGCTCCCAGTGGGTGAACCTAAATCCAGGGTGCGTAGCAGGAACAAATCAAGCTCTTACAAGAGCTTACTCTGGGGAGTAAGTGATTATAGCAATCCCCAGAGTGTAGGTATCCCTTCCCCCAAGCATGAGCCAAGGCTTCAAGAAAGGTGCAAGTAGGTCTGGTTTATTGAGGGCTACCTGCCCGGTATTTATGCAGGTGTCCACCAGGTGGACACTCCCCTAGGGGACCTGATGGAACAATGGGACACATATTGGATATTAGCCAATCACAGACAATACAAACAAAACACTCACACAGTGACATCACAGTCCCTCCTCTCTATCCTGGAGATAATTGGGAAGTAATCAAATTATCTCCCAGGACAGAGGCAAGACTCCATTAACCACATGGTTACAGAAAGACACACAATTACTACATAAAACCTACACATGCAACATATACCCAGATAGCTTAGATCTGAGCGCACATTATTACCGAATGGCGCTCAGATCACATGCATACAGTTCAATCGCCATGGAGCCAAAGTCTTTTGCATAGTCTTTCATTACACGAATAGGCTCCATGGCATAACTATCTGGGGTAGCACTACTCACATACTGAAAGTCCCAAACACCCCTGCAGAAATACACAAATAAACCTTTCTGCAGGGTAAAATACAGCTATCAGCACAGAGGCCATAGTCAGAAGGCAGGAGGCTAGCCAGTAGTCCCCTCCAGGCACAAGTGGCGAAGGGCACTTCGTCACACAATATAAACTATTGCCATATGTATATTCGCATATGGCACAAAGGAGCAAAAAGAATCCTTAAAGGACCACTATAGTGCCAGGAAAACAAACTCGTTTTCCTGGCACTATAGTGCCCTGAGGGTGCCTGCACCCTCAGGGTCCCACTCCCGTGGCGCTGGGACTCTCCTCCCTCTTCTGATGTCATCGGCTGAATGCGCATGTGCGGCAAGAGCATTCTCAATGTTTTCCTATGGACATTGACGTCTTCTCACTGTGAGAAGCGCCTCTAGCGGCTGTCAATGAGACAGCCACTAGAGGCTGGATTAACCCATAGGTAAACATAGCAGTTTCTCTGAAACTGCTATGTTTACAGCAGAAAGGGTTAATCCTAGATGGACCAGGCACCCAGACCACTTCATTAAGCTGAAGTGTTCTGGGTGCCTATAGTGGTCCTTTAAGGGTCCAATGCCTTTTTTTTTTTTGAAGAATACATTCTCATATACCTTGTAAACCACTAAACACCAAGTAGACGTGTTTTTCCTTCTTTCATTGAGAATGCGTCAACGTACAATTTGTTATTAGAATAAGATCAGCCAAATAAGGCCTTGATTTAATAAGCTCTCGAAATGAGTCAACACTGTTTTTTTAAATAAAAAAAAAAAAAAAAAAACCTTTCCAAATGCCTTGTCTACAGAACTCACCATTAAAGGTTTACTAAAACCACCGTGACTACTTGTGCTTTTAGAATTGGTCGTGGTGGTGGGAGTCTGCATGTGCAGAAATACTTGCAATTGTATTTCGGGAGCTAGTTACACTCCTGGCACACATGACTTGGTTCTGGACTGCCAAATATAAATTCTGTGCAAAATGTATGTACAGCACACTGGCAACAGATGTAATGGAAGCTTGAGTCTCTCCTGCCTAGCTGCAGTCTTCCTTCCTCAGTATATTTTCCTCTGTTTTCTTTTTTTCTTCTCCTGCCTCACTCTCCACTCTCTCTTCCCCTCTCTTTGCTGTCTCAGAGCGCCAGCTAAGAGAGGGGAAGAGGGTGTCTTCGAGAAGCCTTTGGCCTTCCACGTGGCTCGTATGACCTCACAGGGATGTGCTGAACAGTGCCTGGAGCTTCGTCTGGCGCTGGATTAAAGGTCTGTAAAAACGTATTTTTTAATGTTATTTGTTTTGAAGGTGGGACCTAAAGTGTAATGTCCTTTGGGTCATTATTCGTATAAACCCGTAAAGTGAAAATTACTATCTCTTCTCCAGCATAAGCCTAATGATGTTCAACATTGATTTGATTTTTTATTTTTTATTTTTTTTTATTTATTTTTGCATGTTTATAATTTCTGCACAGGCATTGGCTCCTGTAGAATCTGAACTACCAGATCTTCCTGTTGTCCCTGCTAAGCCAAAAGAGAAAAAGTTGGGAACGGTGGCTCCATTACCAAATCCTACAGTCAGGTATCCATGGTTACATTACAATAGGAATTGGGCACATGTGGGAACTTTTCTGGTGTATCCTTGATGCTGACACCTATAGTAAGTCTGCAAAAGTATTTACTAAAAAATACAAATACAAACCATACATTTATTCACTGGACTCCATTTAAAGGTAAACCTGCTGTCTAAACAGGATTTGCTAGTGCACAAGATTTAAACAGTAGCATGATGTCTAAAGCAAATGAAACAAATCCTGCTTATGCACTTGGCACGCTAACTAGCAGCAACACGGTCCAGACAGCTACATTCTTTAACAATACCATGCACAATGATGTGGGCATAGTGTTGTCTGAAATGGCCAGCATGGTCTTAAAGAGATATGGATATGCAGGACACTGCAATGGTTAGATCGATCTAAGTTCTCAATCTATTTCTTATATGGATTTGCACCGTCACCATTTAGTACCCAATAAGAGACCTGAGTAGTCTGGTAAGGAGACTTTGACACTGATGGTGAGCAGCCAGGGGACTTAGGCTGGGTATACGAGACCTATGTATTAAATAGGCTGTGTAATCTGAGGTAAGAGACATAGGAACTGTGGATAAAAGACAGGAAAAGATTAAAGGTACCGGTGAGTTAAGTGGGTTGAAAATTAGGTAGTTGAGATGGACTGAGATAAGAGTATCAGTAGGAGGGTGACCTTAAAAGGTAGGCTCATACTATTGAAATGCAGTGGTCCACTGCTCTAGTACGTAACTTGGAATTTGTATTCGTCAAGCCAACTGGATGTGTGTACTCTGTATTTTAGACCCAAGATAAATCTATATCAACTGGAAGAAAACAAGGAGAAATACTTCCACAGTGTAATGATGCACCTTAATGCTCCAAATACATCCCAAGGTATGAGCATAAACAACAAATACATTACTGTAAAACAGGATTTTAATTCTTTAAATCTGTTAATTGCGGTTTGTAGTGATTATAGCACTTTTTGCATTTTTTACATTTGTATTAGGTTATGTCTATTTGTAATTCATTTTTTTTAACGGAACATATGTCTACAGATACATACCCTTATGTAAAAAAAGTCCTGCATTAATACAACCATTAAACATTAATAAAAAAAGTGAAAGAAAAAGATATAAGGGGGTTCAAAGAAAATATACAGAAAATCTTGTATACTTAGTATAATGAGTGGAACACCTCCTGATTTTCCTACAATAAAAACATATACATAGTGTAATACTGTTATGTAAGAAACATTAATCAGTCAAAGGTATTGGGTCACTCACAGTATGCAGAGTCTCATAAAGCTGGCTCTGACTTCAGTAGCAGATGAATAATTAGCTTATTCTGGCTTTCAACTTCCTAGACAGGATAATTTCTTTCCAGCCTTTCAATGATGACCAGGATATCCAATAGTAAAGAGCAAATTGAAACTTTACTGGTTAAAAATACAGGATACAGAAATAGGCTTAAAATAACAAAATAAAAAGTCCAGAACACTAACGCGTTTCGACCTCCAGGTCTTTGTCAAAGTGTGTGGTAAATGCTGGTCTTCTCCTTTTTAAATAGTGCTTCTGTCATTGAATTTGGCGCTGTTTTGCCGGCGTCCATTTTCACTTCCGGGTCCTCCGAACTGCCGCATCACGTGACTCCCCGTCCGGTCACCTGATTCTGATGTCATACGTAATGACGTCACTTCCGGATTTTCGGTCTTCACCTTGTAAATTCTTTACATATCGGCAGTACTGGCGTTTTCGCCATATTTAAACTGGGAAAAGGACCACTACATACACAAAAACTTCAAATAAATCCATCTAGTTTATAGATTGAATGTTATTATTTCTCCATATTTAAACACTAAACAAATATACATACATAAATAACAAAAAAACATTCTTAACTAGAAAATGTTTCATAATATTGCACATCTATATAGCACTAGCAATTCATAAAATACAAATTAAAACCATATTCTTATATAAGAAATATTTCAGAGTTATACATCTATGTATTAAATTGCATAGGTGAGAGAACATATTTTCAACTGAAAAATATTTTTTATTTTAACATTTCTATAATATGAGGAGGATAATCCCCTTAAAGTAAAATGTACTTATATCGGTGAGTAATTAATAATGCATCATTCCAAGTAATAAACATCTCAATAAAAATAATGCAATATATATGTCTGTATAAAAAAAGGGGGGCACATAATATATCTGTAGGAGACAAGAAGATAAAAAATATTAATTTTAAAAATAGTTAAAAAAAATAAATAAAAAAAAGTGGAAATCCACAATTCAGATACCCAATAAAATTAAAATACACAGGTAAAATTAAATAAGTACTGACATTTCGAAATCGACGTTGAGTCCACCAGGAGACAAAGTGTCCAAATTAAATATCCACTTCATCTCGCAGCGGCTCAACGTCGATTCCAAATCCCCCCCCTCTCCAATGGGCTTCCATCTTTTGTATCCCAAAAAAATGGAGTCCAGAGGGGTCTACTCCATGACATTTAAAAAAATGTAGTGATACATTGTGTTTTAAAAAACCCCTCCTAATATTATAGATATGCTCACGTATCCTTGTTTTAAGGCACCTAGATGTCTTACCAATGTATTGTAGCCCGCAAGGACACGTGAGCATATAAATCACATTTTTTGAATGACAGGAAATAAATGAGTAATATATAAATCTTATATATAGGAGTCCCTGCCCTAGATTTAAAATTGGCCACCTTCCTATTTTGGTATTTATAGTTTTTACAACCCATGCAATCTCCACAATAAAAGAATCCCTCTTTACCATCTTTATATAACTCTAAAAAATTGGTCTTGGTGATATCTATATAACTTTCGTTTATTTTCTAAAAATGGTTGGATTTCCTGATCTTGTTGAAGAATATGCCAGTTTTTGTTTAGAATTTGTTTTAGTTGTCTCGGATCTTTACTATTATTAAAAATAAGTGGTATGGTTTATTCTTCTTTTTCTATCTCTCATTTTTTGTTTATATATAAGGAGGGTATTTCTATAGAAATCTCTAATTTTTTTCTGTTTCTCTATTTAAATGTTCCAACTTATATCCTCGATGTAAAAATTGATTTTTAAGAATATCTGCCTGGTTGTTTAAAGAATCCAAGTCAGTACAGTTTTGTTTAAGTCTTAGAAACTGTCCTCTTGGAATATTCTCCAACCACGGTTGATGATGACAACTGTCTGTGTGAATGTAACTATTGACATCCACTTTTTAAAAAAAAAGTTTTCGTTTTGATTTGATTTTCTGTATAAATTTCTAAATCTAAAAAATTTATTTTCTTTTTACTAATCTCTTGTGTCAATTGGATATTCCATTGGTTGCTATTTAAAAAACTTAAAAAAAAGCTAAAACCTGTGTCTCATCTCCTTTCCAAATAAAAAAAAATATCGTCAATGTATCTTTTATAAAGGACCAGGTTCGCACACCAGTCATGTGTAGAATAAACAAACCTATTTTGCCAATAAGCCATAAAAAGGATTGCATAACTGGGTGCGAACCTGGTGCCCATCGCATTACCCCTACATTGCAAATAATATTCTCCCTCGAACCAAAAAAAATTATTCTGTAGAATAAACAGAATCCCCTCTATAATAAAGTAAACCTGGTCCGAGGGATAAAGTGCAGACGTCTCTAAAAAATAGCGTATGGCCTCACAGCCCAGCAAATAATCAATACAAGTATATAAACTAGTGACATCACAGGTCACTAAAATAAAATCAGAGGGGTCTACTCCATGACATTTAAAAAAATGTAGTGATACATTGTGTTTTAAAAAACCCCTCCTAATATTATAGATATGCTCACGTATCCTTGTTTTAAGGCACCTAGATGTCTTACCAATGTATTGTAGCCCGCAAGGACACGTGAGCATATAAATCACATTTTTTGAATGACAGGAAATAAATGAGTAATATATAAATCTTATATATAGGAGTCCCTGCCCTAGATTTAAAATTGGCCACCTTCCTATTTTGGTATTTATAGTTTTTACAACCCATGCAATCTCCACAATAAAAGAATCCCTCTTTACCATCTTTATATAACTCTAAAAAATTGGTCTTGGTGATATCTATATAACTTTCGTTTATTTTCTAAAAATGGTTGGATTTCCTGATCTTGTTGAAGAATATGCCAGTTTTTGTTTAGAATTTGTTTTAGTTGTCTCGGATCTTTACTATTATTAAAAATAAGTGGTATGGTTTATTCTTCTTTTTCTATCTCTCATTTTTTGTTTATATATAAGGAGGGTATTTCTATAGAAATCTCTAATTTTTTTCTGTTTCTCTATTTAAATGTTCCAACTTATATCCTCGATGTAAAAATTGATTTTTAAGAATATCTGCCTGGTTGTTTAAAGAATCCAAGTCAGTACAGTTTTGTTTAAGTCTTAGAAACTGTCCTCTTGGAATATTCTCCAACCACGGTTGATGATGACAACTGTCTGTGTGAATGTAACTATTGACATCCACTTTTTAAAAAAAAAGTTTTCGTTTTGATTTGATTTTCTGTATAAATTTCTAAATCTAAAAAATTTATTTTCTTTTTACTAATCTCTTGTGTCAATTGGATATTCCATTGGTTGCTATTTAAAAAACTTAAAAAAAAGCTAAAACCTGTGTCTCATCTCCTTTCCAAATAAAAAAAAATATCGTCAATGTATCTTTTATAAAGGACCAGGTTCGCACACCAGTCATGTGTAGAATAAACAAACCTATTTTGCCAATAAGCCATAAAAAGGATTGCATAACTGGGTGCGAACCTGGTGCCCATCGCATTACCCCTACATTGCAAATAATATTCTCCCTCGAACCAAAAAAAATTATTCTGTAGAATAAACAGAATCCCCTCTATAATAAAGTAAACCTGGTCCGAGGGATAAAGTGCAGACGTCTCTAAAAAATAGCGTATGGCCTCACAGCCCAGCAAATAATCAATACAAGTATATAAACTAGTGACATCACAGGTCACTAAAATAAAATCATCTTCCCATTTAAAATTGTTTAGTAATTGTAATAGACTCATTGAGTCTTTAAGGTATGAGGTATTAGTTTTAACAATAGGCTGAAGATGGGTATCTACATATTTAGACAAATTAGACAACAAAGATCCTATCCTGGAGACAATAGGTCTTCCCGGAGGGTCTTGTATATTTTTATGTAGTTTAGGTAATGTGTAGATAACCGGTATCCGTGGCCGACTAATATTTAGAAAAGCATATTCTTTTTGGGTAAAATGGTAAAGAGGGATTCTTTTATTGTGGAGATTGCATGGGTTGTAAAAACTATAAATTACCAAAATATGAAGGTGGCCAATCACCGCTGCGAGATGAAGTGGATATTTAATTTGGACACTTTGTCTCCTGGTGGACTCAACGTCGATTTCAAAATGTCAGTACTTATTTAATTTTACCTGTGTATTTTAATTCTATTTTTATTGGGTATCTGAATTGTGGATTTCCACTTTTTAATTTTTTTAACTATATTTAAAATTAATATTTTTTATCTTCTTGTCTCCTACAGATATGTTATGTCCCCCCCTTTTTTATACAGACATATGTATTGCATTATTTTTATTGAGATGTTTATTACTTGGAATGATGCATTATTAATTACTCCCCAATATAAGTACATTTTACTTTAAGGGGATTATCCTCCTCATATTATAGAGATGTTAAAATAAAAAATATTTTTCAGTTGAACATATGTTCTCTCACCTATGCAATTTAATACATAGATGTATAACTATGAAATATTTCTTATATAAGAATATGGTTTTAATTTGTATTTTATGAATTGCTACTGCTATATAGATGTGCAATATTATGAAACATTTTCTAGTTAAGAATATGTTTTTTTGTAATTTATGTATGTATATTTGTTTAGTGTTTAAATATGGAGAAATAATAACATTCAATCTATAAACTAGATGGATTTATTTGAAGTTTTTCGAAAACGCCAGTACTGCCGATATGTAAAGAATTTACAAGGCGAAGACCGAAAATCCGGAAGTGACGTCATTTCTTATGACATCAGAATCAGGTGACCGGACGGGGAGTCACATGATGCGGCAGTTCGGCGGACCTGGAAATGAAGATGGATGCCGGCAAAACGGCGCCAAATTCGAAGACAGAAGCACTATTTAAAAGGGAGACGACCAGCATTTACCACACACTTTGACAAAGACCTGGAGGTTGAAACGCGTTAGTGTTGTGGACTTTTTATTTTGTTATTTTAAGCCTATTTCTGTATCCTGTATTTTTAACCAGTAAAGTTTCAATTTGCTCTTTACTATTGGATATCCTGGTCATCATTGAAAGGCTGGAAAGAAATTATCCTGTCTAGGAAGTTGAAAGCCAGAATAAGCTAATTATTCATCTGCTACTGAAGTCAGAGCCAGCTTTATGTGACTCTGCATACTGTGAGTGACCCAATACCTTTGACTGACTAATGTTTCTTACATAACAATATTACACTATGTATGTGTTTTTATTGTAGGAAAATCAGGAGGTGTTCCACTCATTATCTTAAGTATACAAGATTTTCTGTATATTTTCTTTGCACCCCCTTATATCTTTTTTCACTTTCTGAGTGCCATTTAGTGATTTTGGGCACTGGGGGTAGTTGCGTATTCTTTGGTTTTCTAGCGCCAATCCACCATTCTTTTGTTGTGTTTTTATTAATAAAAATGTAATGCAGAAATTGTGGAAACAGATGACTTGGCATATACTATGGGAAATAATAGTCAAGGTCTATTTTTATGTAGTTAAGAATTTAATTGCTAAGGAATGTGTAAAATTACATCACATGAAGCTTGATCCAAGGATCTCGCAATCTATACACGCCAGTTACTACAGGGAAAAACAAAACTTCCTAATGAATATATTGCCATATGTTATGAAGCAGCTACTGTATTATTCACACACAGATCCAAGAAAAACGCTCTGATCCACAGGTTACATTAGATTATCACTTTGAAATCCAGTTAGAGGACTTAATATTAAAGGGACACTGTAGTCACCAAAACAACTATAGCTTAATGAAGCAGTTTTTGGTGTACAGATCAGGCCCTTCATTCTCACTGCTCAATTCTCTGCCATTTAAGAGTTAAATCACTTTGTTTATACAGACCTAGTCACACCTCCCAGCATGTGACTTGCACAGGCTTCATTAACACTTCCTGTAAGGAGTCTGCTAATGTTTACCCTTCCTTTATTGCAAATTCTGTTTAATTTAGATTTTTTTTTTTTTTTTAAATGTCCTGCTCTGTTGAAAGCTTGCTAGAGCCTGCAGGAGTCTCATGTGTGTAATTAAAGTTCAATTTACAAAGCAGGTTATACAATATATTAAGGTAAGTTGCATACCTCCCATTGTACAGCGCTACGGAATTTGCTGGCCCTATGTAAATAATAATAATAATAATAATCTGATTGACAGTGAAACCATTTTCTTTTTTCATATAGGCTGTGTCAGTCACAGCCTGGGGAGGTATGGCTAGAGCTGCATAAACAGAAACAAAAGTGATTTAACTACTAAATATCAGAGAATTGAGCAGTGAGACTCCAGAGGCATGATCTATACACAGAACTGCTTCATTAAGTTTTGGTGACTATAGTGCCCCTTTAAGGAAGGGTACTTGTTAATTCAGCGAGTATACTGATTTGCCATATTGACTTAGTATATTTTTTCTTTGAGGGAAATGTTTTAACCCCTTAATGACAGCGGGTGTTCTATTCCATCCTTAAGGAGCCGAGCCTAAATGCCGTCAGGTGGCATAGAACGTCCACCCCACTTACCCGATCACCGCCGTTCCCCGCCAGCGATCGGCATTCCTCCCGGTCTGGGGGGACTGTCGGACAGCCCAGACAGTCCCCCGTCCGCAAATTAGGACCCCGCGGGCCATGTGATCACTCTAAAAGAGCGATCACATGTCCATAGTGCTGTCTGCAGGAGGACTGCCTAAATTGACAGGCAGTCTCCTTGCTTCAGTAAAATTAAATAAAAATGTTAGTAAATAAAAAATACATAAATAAAAATATATGTAACGGAACCGCTGGCACCCCGACCGGGTACCTTCCGCTGACGGATGCTCCTAGTGCTTTCCGTAGACTCCAAGCACTCTGTCCGACACCAAAACCACTGCAGACCCCACGAACTGCCGCAGCTTGGTTGGGGTCTCGCTGTCTCCACCCACTCTGCACCCAAGACCAGGGTTCAGCTTCCAGTAGGTCGACCTCTCCGAATTCCAGAGAGCAGGAACAAGCTCTTAGCAGAGCTTAGTGATTATACCCTGTGGGGTATAGTGATTATAGCAATCCCCAGAGTGTAGTTCTCCAATCCCCCAAACATGAGCCGAAACTTCATGAAGGTACAAGATGATCTGACTCCAATGAGCGTTTATTACTCCTTATATACAAGTTTTCAGGCCAGAGGCACACCCCCTGGACCTGGTGGTAAACTGTGACAAAAGGTACACAAACCAATGGAACACTAACATAAGAACACTCCCACATACACAAAGAAATCCCTCCTCTCCATCCTCGAGATAATTGGCTTAAGGCACTGCAGTAAACTCAATTATCTCCAGGTACAGAAAATATCTACATTGTACACTAACAGCAAAAATACGTAAAAGTACATAAAAATACATAATTCTTATTATATTCCACAGAACCCCCACATTTAACCTATCCCCAGATAGCTCGGATCTGAGCGCCCAATCTAGGTGAACAGCGCTCAGATCCCATGAACAGAGTAAATTTGCCATGGGGTAAAGCATAGCAAGGGCTGTTGAGAAACCAAGGAGGGACGAAAGCAGTCAGTTCCAACTGGTTTGGCAGTGTGCCTGGGACAACGCCCTGTTGGAGAACAATAGACAGGAAACTGGGGAGGGAAAGAGAGACACCTTCCCATGGATTCAAATGGGCAGAAACAGTCTTTAGAAGCCAATAAGCCCCAAATAGTCTTTTTAAATGGCACTACACCCCAGGGCCATAGTCATGAGGAAGGAGGCTGGCAATCAGGCACCTCCAACAGCCAGGGGCAAAGGGCAGCTTGTCACCTAACAATCCAGTGACAAAAGGCATTTCGTCACAATATACATATAATTTATCAATATATAGTGTGTGTGTGTGTGTGTATATAATAAATATATATTTATTTTGTCTTACTAAGTGTATACATATATTAATATAAAAATACACATATAACTACTGTATACACATTGTGTATATATATATATATATATATATATATATATATATATATATATATATATATATATATATATTTTATAAATAAATGTCATTTTATTCTAAGTGTACCCTTAGAATGAAATTATGTGTGTGTGTGTATATATATATATAAATAAAAATAATACAAAATATATATCCATATACAGAATTACATAAATAATTTCATAAATATACACATAGACTTCAAATATATAAATATGTATATATAGTTAAATTCCATGTGCATATTTATGTAATATTTTTACATACTTAAGTAATTTTATTGATTGCAATTTGAGGGACCTGCCTAAGAACCCAGGCAGAAAGTCCAGATAATTTCATTTGCTAGCCTTAGATTTAACCCTGTGACTTTCCAAGATGACCTAAAACCTGTACATAGGGGGAGTACTGTTTTACTCGGGAGACTTTGCTGAACACAAATATTATTGTTTCAACGGTTACTCGGGAGACTTTGCTGAACACAAATATTATTGTTTCAACGGTAAAAGCTAAAGTTAGCGTTCATATTTGTTTTTTGCATTTTTCACACGCAAACCAATATAAACGCTAGCTTTGGCCAGTGTTCGTGACTAAGTGGCTACTAAAAAAGACTGGACATACCCTATATTAAATACCCTGGGTTGTCTACTTTTTCAAATGGTATTCTATCATGGGGGTAATTCTAATTTCTGGGCTACGATACAGTGTAAAAAGCAACATAACCAGTTTGGTAAATTTCAATGTGTATAAACTGAAAAACAAAACCATGATATATTTGACCCTGTAACTTTCCAAAACCCCCATTAAAACCTATACATGGGAGGGGGGGGGTTTAAAAAATATAAATTTCTCACAATTTTTAGATTTTATTCATAATAAATTATGTTTTATATATGAATAGTTCATGTGAAATTAAAGCAATGTTTCTCCTGAACAACATGATATACAATAAGTGTGGGTGCACTTAATATGAAAGAGCTGAATTATGGTTAAACAGATATATAGCTAAAATTCTAGTTTTTGGTTACGTTTTGTTTTGATCACAACTTGTACAACTGGCTCAGTCCGTAAGGGGTTAAATACGTTTTTTGTTGTTGTTTTTTACCATTTGTTTTCATAAACTTCAGCATCCGAGATGTATGAAAGGTTGAACTTGATGGTCCTAAGTTATTTATCCAACAAAGGATTACTGTGTTAACCCCATCTTCTGTATTTTTTTCAGATCCTAATTATGAGCTGGCCTCGTTACTTAACCAGATCAGTAGAGAAAATCCCAGCTATCCTCACATATCTGATTTTACGAGGAGGTACATGAGCTTTACAGCCCACCCTGATTTATTTCTGCATTCTGTGGAGGCAGACAAAGCCATTTTCCTCTTAGAACAATGGCTTTATAGAATGTTTGCTGGTTGTGCTTTTCACTGCTTTTTAAATTTGATTTCATTATCTTTTGCAGGAATCACCCTCGTTCTGTTAAAAGGAGAAACACAAACTACAACTTGAGAGAGTGGGTGTTACAAAATGGAGGAAGCAGTCAACGCTTTCAAAGCTTGCCGTGCACATTTCAAAGGAGTCCAATTCCTAAAGCCCTGCCCTCCAACCATTAGGATATGGGATTTAAAGGTTTCATTCTACCATCCATCTTTGAGTGATTTTGTTTATTCCACCAACCAAAAAAACTTTTATAAGTGGGTATGAGGAGGATGAGAGCCCTGACCTCAGGATGGTTACTCAACTGCTGTGAACTCATTCCATTTCACAAATTGTTTATACATATATAGTTTGGTTTTACTATCATCATTTTATATTGGACGTATTTCTGCCTTGGTTAAGATGTTGTAATATAATAGTTTTCACTTTAATGTTTTATAATTGCAGTTTTTCTGTACTGGTTTAGGTGTTCTATATATTATAATAAATAGTTCATTTTGTCATTTGATTGTCTACATCCTTAATCCATCAATTCAAACTTTCCTGTCCCACTGAATTTATCCAATCTTTATGTGCTTGATTGTTTCTTATAATAAAATTCCATCTGCCCTTTTGCATTTCTATTCTTTGCTTTATCTCCAGATCTTTCTTTCTTTATTTTGTCATTTTCCCATCTCTCTTCCACATATTTCTCTCTCATCTGTTGGGAATGGTCCCAGCCTGCGGATTATCTTGGTTTAAGGAAATTTGGTGAATTGGAAGTAAATTTGCTGTAAATCATTGCTCCAACTGCCTCCCCACCCACTTTTTATCGGATTAAAATCAAAACCAAGATTACTATGAATACCCTTCACTGCTAGTGGGGGTGGAATAATACAGAAAAAAACAGCATCATTTCAGGCCATCATAAGCGGTGAAACATGGTCAGTTGACAGCTAGTCTGACAGTGCTTCTATTCATTCTAATGCTTGGGAATTTTCATTTGATTTTTATAATGAAAAGTGTTTGATTTATGGTTTTGTATCAATATATAAATCTTCTTTTTAAAAAGAGTGTGTGTGTGTGTGTGTATATATATGTATATGTGTGTGTGTATATATATATATATATATATATATATACACATACACACACACACATGTTTACAGGTGTCAAACAATGCTGTAGTAAATGCATTTCAATTTTTGAAAGGTGTGAGTGAAAAGAAGAAAAATCTAAATCAAATTTTATGACCACCCTTTCAAAACGGCATCAGTTTTTCTAGGCCAGGGGTACTCAAAAGATAGATCTCCAGATGTTTTAAAACTACAGCTTTTTATGATGTTCTGTCATTCTAAAGGCATGCAAAGAATCATGGGAGCTGTAGTTCTACAACATCTGGGGATTTACCTTTTGGGCATGTCTGTTCCAGGTACACTTGCGCTGTCGAGTATTTTGTAGGCATATAGTCAGCTGAGTGATTAGTGAGTTACTCCAACCCTTTTTCTATGTATAATTTACATAAATAATGAATAACAAGCATGGAATCCAGCTCCAGGCAAAGCTCTCCAGACTTCTGACCACTCCCCATGTGTTTTCACTGCCTCTCTTATGAGGTCCAATCAAATGCTTCTCATACACCATTTCACTGAATCAGGGCACATGCATTCGCTCTAAACAAGACATGGAGGGAGGGCATTTGGGGAAAAGCTGCAAATTAGGATTATACGTAGGGAGGAGGTTTGAAACCAGGGAAGAATAGGACATAGACAATTCCCCTTAGAGCAAAATATTTGTGCAATTTAATGGATTCCTGTTGCATAAAACCAGTTAAGACAGAGATAACGAAAGCTAAAGTTCAGCCCCCCCAAGCTACAGTGTTAGCCAGGCTAATACGGGTACACTGTAATGGGAGATGTAGTTAGTATATCTCTGGGTAAAGAAATACACATTATCTACTACCCTCTTGTGTGTCTCTTAACCCCCCTCCTTACCACCATACATTTAGTCACATGCACACATACATAGACAGGCAATCATACACACCGTTATTACATGCATAGAGATATGCACAATTACTTGTATAGATACAAAGACGCACATTCACATATAGAGACACATAATTACACACCTTAACACATACTTGCATACAGGCACACATACTCTTCGTTAAATCTGGATGCTGACAGGTAGCCGGAGGGTAGGCCTATTTGGCCGTATGGAGCCCCAACAGTCCAGCAATGACTGTCCTCTGAATTTTCTTTGCTATGTCCCTATGGCCGCATGCTACCCAGGTTCTTATTCTCCTGCCTGAGATAGCTGTGAAGATGCCTACCTGCCCAAAGATGGTCATTGTCATGTGCTGCACTGGCAGCTCGATTAACTTCTTGTTAGTGGAAACAGGCAGCATGGAGGAGCCCACTGGGCATGGTGGCAGTCCCCCTCTTCATGTAAGGCAAATGACAGAGTGCCCAATTGCTGATACAAAAATTTACTGTCTGGAGAAGTCAGGCAGCAGGTCTTTGAGGAAGACTTGCTGCCAAATTGCCAAACCTCTGATATTGGAACAAATTTAAGTGACTTAACTATCCATGAAAACACAAGAATTTGGTTGCAGAAAAAGGTCAGCTGGTGCTTTGGATCGATACATTTTAAATATTTGTCAGATGCAGAAGAGGGTTGCCAAATGGCTGGAGTGGCACAATAATGGGTGTCTATAGGAAATAGTGAAGCAGGGTTGAAGTTCATTGAATGTTTGGGGCTACTTATCTGTCAGAATCACACCTGTCTTCTGCAGTAATGTGTAGCTATATACCAAGCTACTTACTAAAGTAAGAGTTCAAAGTGAATTCAAAATTTAAGGCTAGAGTAGTAGAATAGAAAGAGTGCTGACTTGGTTAATGTTTCCAGTCTGACTATTATATCTTTCAATTTGAAATTCACTTTCAATTCTCACTTTATTAAACATCACTGATAGTTTATGTATGTGTGTATATAGAGAGCTGGCTCTGGGTTTCTGCATTATTCTCACGGGTTCCCTATGTACCCATTTCAGCGCTACTATGACAATATGTACTCCAGTGTTTGTTTGTTTTTTTTTAATCTGGGACAGAGTGCTTGGAGTCATCACCACCTCTCTAGGAACACATCTGGGAGATTTTCTGTGCCTTCAAATTACTATGGATGCCACACTCTTGTACCAATCTGTCAGTGCCATCTGTCACCAGAGGCTTAGCACCTGCATGTGGATCACCTCGATCACTGCACATCTGTCTCTCCCTGAACCATGCTCTTCAAGGTGCTTTGGCCGTTCAGTGATAAAATCTGCAAAATGGTGCTAAAAAGGGGGTTTAAACACCACCACTGTTTTGGGAGTTAATACAAATTTATTTTATTACCAAGTGATTAGTATTTGTGTTTGTGATACGCTAGGCGCAAGTGTGCTTTGGTTAAAAAAATAAAAATAATTATCTGTTCCCCACCCACATAAATTATTAGACAAAACCATGTGTTTTAACTGTGGAAGATGCAAAGCAGTTTAACTCTTTTTCATCATTCTGTCTTCTTTTCTACTTAGTGATTGACCTTCATATCTATATATGGGGGCCTGATTTTCACCTGCTCAGCAGGAGAAATGTGACCTAGTGTCCTTGGGTGGCCTCTCCCCCCTCTATAGTCTGACAGTTTAATATTTATATAAAATCTGATTTCAGATCCACAGTAATCCCCGCAGATTATCCAGCAAGAGTTAGAAAAACCAGTTCACGGATTAATCCTTACTGAGAGAATATGAGTGCTGACATGCACACTATATATTGTATAGATACACTGCATATGTGGCCTATACAATGGTTATCCATAAAATCTATGTACTGTAGTGAGAATTTGGGAAGGTTTTAAAGATATCTGTATTGCTGCTTCATTTTTTACCTAAAACCCGCTATGATTTTAGACTAAAAGAAAACATTTAATCCAGAGTTGGCAAACGGTAGATCACCAGCTGTTCATTTACATCTTTCATCTCGCTTAAGGCTGTCAAGGCATAATGGGAGTTTGAGTTCAACACCTTTTGGCCACCCCTAGATAAAACAATACAAATAACACAATAGGGAGACTTACTAGGGCAAAAGAGGTGCAGTCCTGGATGCAGAGTGCTACATATTGAAACATTATTTTGGTTTCCATTGTGATTGCTCCTTATTTAGCATGTGTTTAAAGAGAGACTCTAAGCACCAAAATAACTTTAGCTTAATTAAGCAGTTTGGGTGTATGGATCATGTCCCCTCAGTGTTACTGCTCAATTATCTGTCATGTAGGATTTTAAATCACTTTGGTTTCTGTTTATGCAGCCCTAGCCACACCTCCCTTGGCTGTGACTCATACAGCCTGCATTAAAAATAGTTTAATTTTAGATGTGAAAGCACAGAAGTTTTTATCTCCTGCTCTGTTAGTTTCACACACCGACTGCTCGTACAGGCTCTAGCAGGCTATTAGTAGATAAGAAATTCTAAGTTAAACACACTATGTAAATTCAAAGTGAGAATTCACATTTTTGGCCACAGTAGCTGAGCTATAACCACAGCTGAAATAGAGAACTATTCCAATTCAGCTATTTTGGCCTTAAAAGAGCTTAATGTGGTGATTCTGGTGGCGGCTGTCTAAGTGAGTGGACTCCCGATGGTAGTGGAGCCTGAATGTGCTTCTTGCGTTCCAGCTTCAGCCAAAAATGTAGAAAAAGGCTGTTAAGCCTGGTTAGGATGTCAATCCTGACATCCTAACCAGGCTCAACAGCCTTTTTCTACATTTTTGGCTGAAGCTGGGAGTGAGGAAACATGCGGTCCTCACTGTGTGTGGAGTGTCATGGTAAATTTAGCCAGGGTAGCCCCTAAGGGTGGACTGGGATCACCCCACTGGTCTAAGGGGGCGTAGGGGAAACAGGGCGCTTGTGCAGGAGCAGGGCCAGACTGGCCCACCGGGATACCGGGAAATTTCCCGGAAGGGCCGACATGCTATCGGGCCAGTCCATGGCCACCTAGTGCACACAGGTCACACAGCGTAATTACGCAGTAACCGGCAGGAGGGGTGTGCTCCCCTCCTGCCGGTCACAGAAAGTAGCGTGGCCGAGCAGGCAGACCATGGTATAGGAGCTTCTGTTCCCTTACCCTACCCGGTCTTACAGGAAGTGCTCACAGAGAGCACATGACTGCTTCCTGTCAGACCCAGTAGGGGAACAGAAACTCCTCTACTGCGGTCTGGGTGGGCTATAGGGCGACATGGGGGCTGGGGAAGGGGATATAATGGGACACATGGGGTCTGGAGAGGGGGCTATAATGGATACATGGGGGCTGGGGAAGGGGCTATAATGGGACACATGGGGGCTGGAGAGGGGCTACAGGGATACATGGGGGCTGGGGGGAAGGGGGCTATAATGGGACACACGGGGATCGAGAGGGGGAAGGGGGCTATAATGGGACACATGGGGCTCGAGAGGGGGGCTACAGGGATACATGGGGGCTGGGGAAGGGGCTATAATGGAACACATGGGGGCTACAGGGATACATGGGGCCTGGGGAAGGGACTATAATGGGACTCATGGGGGCTGGGAAAGGGGCTATAATGGGACACATGGGGTCTGGAGAGGGGGCTACAGGGATACATGGGAGCTGGGGAAGGGGCTATAATGGGACACATGGCTGGAGAGGGGGCTACAGGGATACATGGGGCTGGGGAAGGGGCTATAATGGGACACATGGGGGCTACAGGGATACATGGGGGCTGGGAAAGGGGCTATAATGGACACGGGGGCTGAGAGGGATACACATGGGGGCTATAATGGGACACATGGGGCTCGAGAGGGGGGCTACAGGGATACATGGGGGCTGGGGAAGGGGCTATAATGGAACACATGGGGGCTACAGGGATACATGGGGCCTGGGGAAGGGACTATAATGGGACTCATGGGGGCTGGAGAGGGGGCTTCAGGGATACATGGGGGCTGGGGAAGGGGCTATAATGGGACACATGGGGGCTACAGGGATACAT